ATACATTAATAGTAGCTGGGCTTGGGTCCCAAATGCCAATGCAAGTGCTCTGGTAACCTGAACTGGAGCATGGAGCCCAGGTTAAAGGCTTCCAGAAGCATCTTGTTTATAAGGTACTGGTGCCAAGGACTTTAAACACTTAGCACACTCAACAGCATGTAGGATCAGTGTTGAGGAGGGATCAAAGCAGGGCCCTGAGAGGGACATTTTCTGTGTGTGAATTTTAAAATGTAAATTGACCTCACCCATTGCAAATTTTGGCCCCACTGACATTCTGTATTAGTATTTACTCATCCTTACTTCCCTTCAATTTCACTTCTTAAAGAATGGAATTTGAGAAATTGTTTCTTCATCCTCAAACAGTTCAAGTTTGTCCTTAAGATAGGAGCATAATGAGGCTGGGCTCGGTGGCTCACGCCTATAATCCCAGCACTTTGGCAGGCTGAGGTGAGAGGACTGCCTGAGCCCATGGGTTTGAGACCAACCTGGGCAACTTGGCAAGACCTCACTTCTACAATAAATCAAAAAATTAGCAGGGCATGATGGCGCATGCCTGTAGTTCCAGCTAATTGGAAGGCTGAGGTGAAAGGATCGCCTGAGTCCAGTAGGTCGAGGCTGTGATGGCCATGAGTGTGCCATTGCACTCCAGCCTGGGTGACAGAGTGAGACTGACTCAAAAAAAAAAAAAAAAGATATGAGCATAATGATTATCCATGGGACATATCACCTCCATTGGAGAAATTATACTTTTTATAAGAATAGGCAAAATGATACTAGAGTCCCACGTATATCTCTTGATTCAAATCTGACTTGAAACCATAGTAGATAAAGAACATAGAAGTGTTCCAGTTGAGTATATGGAGCCATGTTTCTTGCCAATGCATCCTGCATTTGATTTTCCTATACACAGTATCTGGAAATATCAGCTAGTCCTTAGCCCAGAGTCAACATTTCCTTTCCTGGAGTCAGACAAGGATCCAGGAGCTTTACTTTAATGATGCAGGCATTGCTCCCTTGCCTTCGGAAGGTTCATCATGGTCACAGTGGCTATCCTCATTCTCCAAGCCCATAATATCCTTAAGGACAGCAGTTCTGCTGTTTCTGTGACAAGCCTGGCCATTATGTTCATATGAAACCATTTTCCCTTGATGTTTACTGCCTCTTCAAGGCACTTCCAGGAAATGGGTCTTGGCACCAGATAGTACTGTAATTTGCCTACCTCTATTTCCTTCCAATCCTGGGGAAGTCTCACCTTTCTTCCTGTCACCTCTACTCAACCCTTCGGTCCCTTAATAAAGGCAGGCTTTCTGGGAAGTTCTTTGTCTTTAAGCAGTTTCTTATTTCTGCCCTATAAGCATAATACCCCATGGAGTGAAGAAACTTGAAGGCCTGAATACCACTGCTTTGAAACAGAGAGTGAAAATACACACATCAAAATCTCAGTACGTCATCTTGTGCCAGAGATTATTTTGAAACACTTTTATTAAAATATAATTGACACACAATAAACTGCACACATTAAAAATGCACAATTTGATCTATTTTGACACATGTGTAAACCTGTGAAATCACCACTCTAATCAAGCTAATGACCATATCCATGAGTGCCAAGAGTCACTTTGTGCCCTTTGTAATTCCTCTGGCCACTGATCTGCTTTATGTTATCAGAGTTTGACTTGTTTTCATTTTCTAGGGTTATATATAAATGAAAGTATACAGTATGTACTTTTTTTGGTCTGAATTCTTTTACTCAGCAAAATTGTTTTGAAATTTATCCACATTGTAGTATGAATCGATAGTTCATTCCTTTTTACTACTAATAGCAAGACTGGGTCTAAGGTGAGGCGAGAGAAGTGGCCAGGGTAAAAAATGCAATCAGTCCTTTACTATTACTATTATTATAATCATTGTAAGAACACTTACTAGAAGACCTGCTTTCTTCTCCCCACCCCCCACCCCCGCCTTTTTTTTTTTTTTGAGTTGGAGTCTCTGTTGCCCAGGCTGGGATGCAGTGGCATGCTCAGGACTCAGAAATACCGCAGCCTTGACCTGCTGGGCTCAGGTGATTCTTCCACCTCAGTGGAGGAACTACAGGTGTATACCACCACGTCCCACTAATTTTTTGATTTATTGTAGAGACAAGGTCTCACCAAGTTGCCCAGGCTGATCTTGAATCCCTGGGCTCAGGCAATTCTCTCACCTCCACCTCCAATGCTGGGATTTCAGGTATGAGCCACCACGTCCAGCTGAGACCTGCCTTCTTAACAAAATTTTAAGTGTAACATGCAGTATTGTTGAGTGGGTACAATGTTGTACAGCAGAGCTCCAGAACTTATTTATCTTGTATAACTGAAACTTATATCCCTCAAACAGGAACTCCCCGTTTTCCCCTCCTCCCAGCTCCTGGCAACTATCATTCTACTCTGCTTCTATGAGTCTGGCTATTGTAGATACTTCATGTAGTACTTCTGTGACTGGCTTATTTCACTTAGTGTAATGTCTGCCAGGTTCGTCCATGTTGTCATGAATGGTAGGATTTCCTTTGGTTTTAAGGCTTCCATTGTGTATGTATCTCACATTTCCCTTATCTATTGTTGATGGTCATTTGGTTTTTTCCCATGTTTTGGCTATTGTGAATAATACTGCAATGAACATGAAAGTGCAGATACTTCTTTTAGGTTCTTTTGGGTATGTACTTAGAAGTGAGATTGCTGGAGCTTAGGGTAGTTCTATTTTTAATTTTCTGAGGAGCCTCCATACTGTTTTCCATAGTGGCTGCACCATTCTACTTGCCCACTAACAGTGCCCAATTTCTCTGCATCCTCACCAACATTTGTTATCATTTGTTTTGTTGATACTAGCCTTCCTGACAGGTATAAGATGATATCTCATTGTGGTTTCTATCTGCATATCCCTAATAATTAGTGGTGTTGAACATATTTTCATATAACCGTTGGTCATTCGTTTATCTTCTCTGAAGAAATATCTATTCAGGTTATTTGCCCATTTTAAAATCAGGTTGTTGCTTTTTCTATCAAGTTGTATGAATTCCTTATATATTTTGGATATTAACTCCATATAAAATATATGGTTTGCGAATATTTTCCCTTATTTCACAGGTAGTCTTTTCAGTTTAATTGTTGTTCCACCTATTTTTGCTTTTGCTGCTTATGCTTTTGGTGTCATATCCAAGAAATCATTGCCTGGACCAATGTTATTAAGCTTTTCCCCTATTTTTTTTTCCAGGAGTTTTACAGTTTTTTGTTTTTTTTGTCTTTTGAGTTGGAGTCTCACTCTGTTGCCCAGACTGGAGCGCAGTGGCCGCTTCCGGCCACCGCAGCCTCGACCTGCTGGGCTCCGGCGATCCTTCCGCCTCAGCTTTCCATGTAGCTGGAATTACAGGCATGCGCTACCACCCCCGGCTGATTTTTTGATTTATTGTAGAGATGAAGTCTCGCTGCCCAGGCGGGTCTCGAACCCACGGGCTCAGGCAATCCACTCACCTCAGCCTCCCAAAGGCGCGGGATTACAGGCTGAGCCACCGAGCCCGGCTGAGTTTTACAGTTTTATGTCTTATATTTAAATCTTTAATCCATTTTGAGTTAAATTTTGTGTACAATATATGACAAAAATCTAACTTTTTTATTTTGCATGTGGATATCCAGTTTTCCCAACACCAATTGTTGATGAAATCATTTTTTGCCTATTGCATATTTTTGGCATGCTTATTGAAGATCAGTTAACCTGTGTGGGTTATTTCTGGGCTCTCTATTCTGTTCCATTTATCTATATGTCTGCTTTTATTCAGGTGCCATACTGTTTTAAGTAGTTTTGTGATATAGTTTGAAATCCAGACGTGTGATACTCCCAACTGTGTTCTTATTTTTTTTTAAAGACTGCTTTGGCTATCTGGGGCTTTTTTTTTTTTTATTGGTTGCCTATAAATTTTAGGACTGTTCTCTAATTTTTGTAATAATTGCCATTGGGATTTTGAAAGTTAATCAGTTCTGAATCAGTTTCAATTGTTCTTTTTTTCTTTCCACAGTGGGTTCTATTTTCCTGCTATTTTTTCACATGGCTGGTAATCTTGTATTAAATGAGATATACTTGCACTTAAAATATTTTTGTTGCTTATCTGAAATTCAAATTTAAGCAGGTATATTGTATTTTATTTGTAAGCCCTATGTCCTGAGAACTCTAGCTTCCTTTACCTCTCTGAGCTCTCATATTTGTCTCTTCAACTCAGGAAACTCTCCAGGCTCTGCCTGAATTCCCATTCACTGTGCTGTAGCATGAATACATTCTCATGGCAATCAGCTGGTACAATTGTAGGGCTCATCTTTATTTCCTGACTCTCAGAAATTGTGTCTTTTGCTGTCTGATGCTCATTATCTTAAAACCCAATTTTTCATATATTTTGTCCTTTTTGGTTGTTTCACACAGGAGGGTAAATCTGGTCCCTGCTCCTCTATCTTTGGTTGAACATTGAAGTCTGTACCCAGAAGTTATTGATTTTGTCCAGGGACCAGAACATAGTGCTAATAGGCACAAAAAAATGTGTCTTCAAGTCCCTCTATAGAAGAGTTTGTTAGTTTGCTTTATCATTTCATGTAATTAGCTACCAAAAAATAACTCTATGGATCATAATGAATCTGATGATTATGAGGATGACTCACTACTGTTGGGAAATTTATTAGAAATGCATGTTAGCTAATAAGGGATTGGGTTGGGTCACTGGGGTTGTTACCAAATACAAAGCATAAATCAGCGCAAAACTTTATATTACATTACTTGTCAGAGTCTGGGCCAACAAATAGGTTGGAGTCAGGGCCAGGAAGACAACTCTAGTAGATTCAGCGTGGTCAAATTGAGGTCATAGAGGGAATTAGAAAGATATGCATTTTTTTTATTCCTTGTTCAACAATCAGTGCCATTCTTCCTAGGGGGCTCTGGAAATAAAAGCATGTCCTCTCTTTCCTCTTTGGTTTATCTTGGTCCAGCTATATGCCGCTATCCTCTGGGCATGTCAGGAGGCCACATTCCAGATGAGGACATCACAGCTTCCAGTCAGTGGTCAGAGTCCACAGCTGCCAAATATGGAAGGTGAGGATGGCTACAATATTAAGGAAACCTAAGTTCTGGTTTGGACAGATTTCTTGCCTCTGACCCAAGGGACCAGGGAAGGGGATGTTACCGGCAGGAACTGGTGAGAATGAAGAAAGGACAGCAAGTGAGCCTGTCCTGCTCTGTATGTTTTCATGGAGAAAATTCAGGCTTGGCCACATGTGCTGGTCTGGTGGCCCCATCCAAACCACAAAGGCCCAGAGCCACACCACCCTCAGTGAATGGGTTCATTGACATGCAGTAGACTTGCTTCCCTTGACTGTTTCCCTGTGAGCTGCTGCAGGTGGCGGTCCAAAATGGCAGACATGGGAAGGTGTAGCTCACGTAGAACACTGGGAGATAGTGTGTGCCTCTCTTGTCACTGGGTGTCTGTGAAACATCACTGACAGTGAAAAGCCTCAGGGGCTTAACCAGACATTGAGGCCTCCAGCAAGTTCTTGAATATCTCTTATGACCAGGCCAACTTCACTCACAGACAGAGTTGCAGTAGATTCCTTATAGCATGACTTCAGGGGTCCTCTAAATCAATGAAATCCCTACTCTAACTCTGCTGTGCTGGTTGGGACCTTATATTTTTTCTGGAATCTAATTCTTTTGGTGTAAAGTATTGTTTGTTAAAATGGAATCACCTATAAGAAAAGCAACCCAGGTAAACTTTCCCCATAATTTGTGAGTGCATGGAAGTCTAGAGCAGTGGTTGGTGGACTTGGAAGGGAGTGGGTAACATCTGTGAGAAAAAGGAGCATTTCAGGGGAGAAGGAAAATGGCAAAAAGTTCCCAAAATAAATCTTATAATGATTTCACAATTTTGCTTGGTGGTAGTGCAGCCTGGAGGTAATAAAATGAAACCAGATAATTTACTACTCCCCTAACATGCCCTTCCCCCTCATCCTCACCACGGGCTCCCATGGTTTTTTGTTGGGCTGACACGCCCATCCTGCTGCACTGTATAGCCCACACTGGAGGATCTACTCCCCTTCCCTCCCCACTCCCATAACTTGATAACCAAGCAAGGAGTGGTAGCTTTGCTAGCTGAGTCTGAATGTGACAAAGGAAATATAAAATGATTCCATGGGGGGAAAAGAGGGTAAAAAGGGTTTCATTTCTCTCAAGGTGTCTAAATCAGGGTGGGAAATAAAGGTTACTTGTGATCTGAAGGCTTCCATTTTTCTGGTCATGACCATCTCTCTGGGTTTCATGGTGCTCCTGGGAAAAGGACTTGACCACAAATGGGCACTGTGGTGGCAATCAGACCTGGGTGAGAACCCAAAAAGTTTAACTGGGTTTCCCATCTGCTCTCCCCACTCAGAGCAGGGTTGCTGCTTACTGTGAATTGGTAAACAACTCTGTGGTTTCATAGTTGCCCCCTGTCTCCCCAACTCTTGCCTCTCAAGGTTGGATTCAGAAGAAGGGGATGGAGCCTGGTGCCCTGAGATTCCAGTGGAACCTGATGACCTGAAGGAATTTCTCCAGATTGACTTGCATACCCTCCATTTTATCACTCTGGTGGGAACCCAGGGGCGCCACGCAGGGGGTCATGGCATTGAGTTTACCCCCATGTACAAGATCAATTATAGTCGGGATGGCACGCGCTGGATCTCTTGGCGGAACCGGCATGGAAAACAGGTAGGAAGAAGAGACATCAAGACCCTGGGGTTTCCATCACATTTTGATTTAGGCTAGGAGAAGAGCACAAGTTGTCTGTATAGGTATGTGTGTCCACAGACCCAGCATGCCCTTGCAAATGTGTGATCCAGGGTGAGGGAGGGAGGGAAGTGGGCACAGAGAGGAATACCCAGGCTGCTGAGAATGCTGAGTGGATATTTTCAGCCTTTTGAATTGAACAGAGAGGGCCCATCAAAAGGGTGATGGGTGAAGAAAAGTGAGCATGATTTAATGCTATCTCTTCACTCTTTCTCTTCTCTGTCCTCAGGTGCTGGATGGGAATAGTAACCCCTATGACATTTTCCTAAAAGACTTGGAGCCACCTATTGTGGCCAGATTTGTCCGGTTCATTCCAGTCACTGACCACTCCATGAATGTATGCATGAGGGTGGAGCTGTACGGCTGTGTCTGGCTAGGTAGGTTTCCAGCCTGGGGAGCTTACAGACCTCATTAAAAACCCCAAACCCTGCACAATAAAGGCAATCAAATAAGAAATGGATGGAATCAGTTAGCCCTGGAAAGTGATTCCCTCTTGGGTAGAGAGAGGAGCATTGCTCATTAATTAGCCCAAGGCTTGGTGCCCCACACCTGGAATGATGCCTTTCAGAGGCACTGGGTTGATTGCCAATGGGGAATACTCCTCAGTGTTGCTCCCAGTGTGCTCAGATTGAGCCCTGGGGGACATCTGTGCAACCTTGCATATAGATCCCTGGGGTAGTTAATTGGTCTGAGCAGCTGGTACATCTTTTCCCAAAGATACTGACTGGCTGTGTTTCCTTTGGCAGATGGCTTGGTGTCTTACAATGCTCCAGCTGGGCAGCAGTTTGTACTCCCCGGAGGCTCCATCATTTATCTGAATGATTCTGTCTATGACGGAGCTGTTGGGTACAGGTAAATGCTGGGAAACTTTGACAATCAGAATGGGAAAATGGCCATGAGGAGAGAATATTTTATTATGGATTATGATTCATAATTCATCAATCAACCCATCAACCAGTGTTTATTTAGTCCCTGTACTAGGCATCTTGATGTAATTTAGGTGAAGGAACACACATGACCTTTATTTTCAAGGAACTTAAAGCCTAGTTTGGGAAGACAAAGTGATTGCATGAACAACAAGAATAAATTACACAAAGCAAGGGCTAAACTTTGTGATGTGGCTTTAAGTATGGTGGTCATATTTTTGACCCTCAAAACAGGACATATTGGCCTACTTGTAGAAAAAGAGGGTCAGAGAATTGAAGTAGTAAGTATAGTAGATTGGGAAGGTTAAGAAGTTCAGGAAAAATGGATCCTAATGCTTTAGAAATTGTGGGGTCAGTGTGGAGGTTCACACCTGTAATTCCAGAACTTTGGAAAGCCAAGGCAGAAGTATTGCTTGAGCCTAGGAATTTGGACCTGGACAACCTAGCTAGATCTCATCTATAGAGAAATGCAAGCAAACAAATAAACAAAAAGCTGGGCATGGTGGCACAAGCAGAAGGATCACCTGAGCCCAGGAGCCTGAGGCTGTGATAAGCCATGATCATGCCAGCCATTGCATACCAGTCTGGGCAACAACAACAGAAAAGAAACAGAAAAAGAAAAAAATGTGAAAAGAAGATGGCATCTAAGGTTGCAATAGACAAGAAATGCTTCTTGGATAAGATGAGGACTGGAGTAGAGGAAGGTAGGTAGAGGGAGTAGAGGGAAGGAAGCAGGGCTGAGGACAAGACTGGCCTGACTATCACAGTGGTTGGAGATGTGAACAGCAACATGGGCCAATAGTGAAGTCTGAAAGAGATCACTGGAGGGCCAAGGTGGAGAAGTACAAGTATGATCAGGTATGGGAGGAATTTAGGGTTAAATAAGAGATGTTCCCCACTCCTCCCACTTTACTCCAAACCCTGCTGCTCTCCTTCAAACCCGCTCCAATACTTTTCTCTCTTAGCTCCATCTTTATCTGCCAAGGGAGCCTGGGAGAAAGGTCAGAGCATATTGAAGTCCATACCAGATGGTGGAGGTGGGTTGAGAGAGAGAGAGACATTAGTGAGTCCCAGGAGGGGAGTGTGGATTCCCAGTCTTCCATAGGCTAGGGTGTGGAGAATGAACCGTTGCCCCCAGCTGCCATTCCCTGGCTGAAGGCCTGACTCATCCAGTCTTCTACTCCTAGTCACTTCCTTTTCATTAATTTAGTCACCGTACTTTCCCATTTGCTGAAACTTTCTTGGCATCATTTAACTCAGCCACACCCCAACAGGCATGTATTCAAGGATCAGAGGAGATCAGAGACCAGCAGAGCTGTGCTTAGTTAAATAAGCTTTTGTTGATCAACTGCTACTATGTGCAAGGAATTTGGCTAGACATGTTAGGTATTCAAAGATAGTGAAGTCTTTTATTCTACTTTTGAGCTCACAATTGGCAATGAGGGCTAAAGGAGGATATAAATTACTACAAGGTATGAGCAAACGACTGCCTGTGATTGCTCTGAAGTTCTAAGGAAAGAGTAAAGTGTAGTAGGAAAACACAGGATTGGGAGTGAAAACACCGTGATTCGTGTTCCTAAATGTTCCTTCTGTTTGCTATGAGGCTTAAGGAATTTAAAATGCATAAGAGAAGCATTTTCAAAGGTAAAATGCTATGCACAAGTAGGTTATCTGATTGGAGAGTCAGTAAAAACATGATAGAATAGATGCAATATGAATTGGGTCCCAAAGGATGGGGAGAACTTCCACAGGTAGAGTGGAATCTTAGGCAGAGGGAATAGCATGGTTGTAAGTTTGGTGGAATGTCTGGGGAAAATCAACAGTTTAGTTAGCCAAGGGTTATATTATGCAGCAAAGTAAATGAAAAGCATAAGGCTGATAAGGCCATATTTTGGAGGAACTTTAAGTCAAGGACAAGAGGAGCAAGATAAGGAGAAGGAGGAAGAGGAGAAGTTGTGAGTCTTTTTCTCCATAAACATTATCAGAGTAATAAAGTAATAAAACTGGGGAAGGACATGACTAGAGCTGTGCTTTACATGGATTAATCAAGTGGCATGCACTGGTCGCTGTAGATAAGGTCAAATTTTATAATTTGCCAAACATAGTTTCAATGAATAAATATATTTAAAATGTATTTGTAAAGCTGGCATAATCACTCTTAATCTTGAGTAAAATGAGGAGGAGGTAATGAGAAATATTTAAAAGTTTTAAATTCTGTCAGGTCAAAAAGAATTAATGACCAAGGCCATAATTGTGACCATGGGAATGGGAATGGGAATGAGGAAGAGATATTCATTTAGGGATATTTGCAATCTGATTGGATGTAGGAGCTGAGATAGTAGGGTGAGAAAAATAGATGAAACCTGATAGTCTAAGTGACTAAAACAAGAAGAATGGCATTTATTCATTCAACAAGTATATTTTGAGTGTGTAGTGTGGACCAGGTACTTTCAGAGACTCTGAAAGAGAAGTACAATTTGTAAAAAAAAGGGAAATCCAGGTGAAAGATTTAGTTTAGTAGGGGATGATGATGGATTTAGTTTGGGATATTGACAAGTTTTAGAGATTGACAGGACATTCAAATGGAGAAATAAGGGAGGTAAACTGGAAGCATGGTTCTTGACTCCAGAGGAAAGAGAACGAATAATTATAAAATATAGATGTAATTAGCTTTCACTTAATAATTGAGGTAATAACATACGTGGTTGGGATGGCTGAGTGACGAGATCCTGTCTACCTAAATCAGGGTCTTAAGAAATACATAGTCACAGTAGCAAATGATGCCTTGTAATAAAAAAATTTAAGAGTAATATATGCTTGTTGCAGTAATTCTAATAATTTTAAAGTATATAAAGTAAACATGGAAAATTTTCTTTCTTCTTTCTTTTTCCTTCCCCATTTGATTTAATTTTGACCAAGGAGAAACTCAATAAGCATTTCTTTTCATTTGTGTTGCTTTTCATAAGACTTTTTTTTTAATAAGACTTTCATGGGATTTATTTTTCTGGGAATAATGAGAAATATATTTTTTACAAGTAAATTTATGTTCTACTAGCCTTCTGATCTGTAGAGAGAAGAAAAAGATGGCAAAGCCTTGAAAGGCAGATCCAGGCACTGGTGACTGTGGATAAGGCCAGTCAAATTTTATAATTTGCCAAACATAGTTTTAATTAATAAATATATTTAAAAATGTACTTGTAAAGCTGGCATAATCACCCTTAGTCTTTCTTTGGCAATGCACACATTTTACATATTACTGATTTGGCTGTAAACCTCAAGGATCACATCCATTATTACTTGAGGGTGACTATCCAAATCTCTTCATTTGGAAAACTTCTGACATTTCTACTAAGAGCTGGGAGTGCAGAGCTTGAGAAAAGAGAAGTTCCACGTGATGGATTCTTGCTCTGTTCCTCCGTAGGAAAAAAAAAAAAAGAACCTCTTTATGTCCTTCAAAGAGACAAATTAACATAAACACATTCAGCAGTCAGGTTCTGGCAAACTTAGTTATTCAGAACATAGCCATACACTCAGAAGTCCAAAAAGGCTGCCAAGGTAGAACACAAAATCCAATACCTGGGACTCCCATGAAATCCATGTGTTTTACTACATAAGTCTAGTATTTTACAAATTTAATTACAATTAAATATCAATGAGCACTTACATTTAGAGATTACCTTTTTCCTTTTTAGTGTGATATCAAATTGGGTTGTTGAAGATGTGAGGTTGAAGATAGTATGACTTGCTCCTCTGAAATTGATTCACTGAATAGTGACAACATACAGTTAAAGGAGAGACAGAATAAATTTCAACAAGCTCTGGAAACATTTACTATTTATTGTAGTGTTTATCCTACGCATTTAATGTTGAGTCATTATATAAAGACATATTCAGTATATAAAAGTAGGTTAGGTACAATAGATTACAGAAAACTTTTCATACAAAATAGTAATTATTTAAAATTTTGCTAAAGGGGTGAGTCAAATATTTTGTAAAATTCATCTATATAAAATTCATAGTTCTCCACTGATGAAAGATGAATGTCAGAACTATAATATACACTTGATTATTGAAAATCCTTCAATTCCAGGATAATAAGCTCCAGGATACAACATCCAGGGTGAAGAGAAAGGGGGTGCTCTTCCATAAGTGTGATTAACTCCAGTGCCTCTCTCTTTTCCGCCTCCTCTTTGGTCTGAACAGTATGACGGAAGGGCTGGGCCAGCTGACAGATGGAGTGTCTGGTTTGGATGATTTCACTCAGACCCATGAATACCATGTGTGGCCTGGCTATGACTACGTGGGCTGGCGGAACGAGAGTGCCATCAATGGCTACATCGAGATCATGTTCGAATTTGACCGCATCAGGAATTTCACCACCATGAAGGTCAGTGGAGTCAGGTGTGGTAGAACTGGCAGAACGTCTTCAAGGAGGCCCAAAATATCGTAGAGAAAGGTATGCTAGAAAGAAGCCTAGGCTGATGCCTGCAGATCCGGATTCCAGTACATTCTCTGCTGCTAACTAGCTAGGTGCTTGTCACAGGTCACTTTGCCCCTAGGGGCGTCTTTCTCCATTTGTGAATAAGAGAGTTAGAATAGGTCAGTGGGTTGAAACTGGTTTTTTTAATTACAGCATTAAAGCTGACATATCCAGTAGGCACAATGGCACAATGCAGAACCCACAATACCTTTAGGCCCATAAAAATGCTTTATTTGTTTCAATGTCAGGTGAAAAAAAAATAAACTTTTAGGGTCAAAGATTATATTCATCTTTTTTACTAGCACAGCTGTCAAATATAATTACATGTGTGTGATGTGTATATATATATATATATATATATATATATATTATATATAATGGGTACACATTATATACATATATAATAAGACATACAATATATATACATATATAATAGATTATGTGTAATGTATCTATTTTATATCTATAAAACGGCTCATTTTATATATATATATATATATATATATATATATATAAAATGGAGGAAGGGGCCCACAAAGGCAAAAGTGACTAGAACCCATGGAAATCATTATATCCTGCCCAACACTTCAAGAGATATGACACTCTTATCAGTGAGTGACTCATTTCAAATCTGATTCTCAATGAAAAAAGGAATATCAATAATTTTACAACCCTAGTGGAAGTGTGTCTTCCACTCCCTCTGCACTGAGAAATTATAATAGAAAATTCTAGACTCCTGCTCCCAGAGTTTCGTGTTTCCTCATCTATTGTCATTTATCTGTGCATGTTTCTGAATCTCTTGCTGGACCTCAAGCTTCTCCAAGGCAGTGACTTTGCTTTATGATCTCCGTGCCTTTGTGCCTGGCACCTAATATACACTGACTTGATACATGTTTATGAATGAACAATATATATCCTTATTGCCTGCTTTAACCACTTATAGTTATAATCATCTCTGCCACCTTAGATAGAAGAAGGAGGAGATATTAATGGACAGGTATAAGATTTTGACACATAGTATTTTCTTAACTGGAAACAGGCCCAAGTTACTCTTGGTTGGGCCATTATCAGGACTCTAGACTTCAGGTCCAGGCTTCTAGTCTGTCTTCTTTATGGGATCTTGGTGACCAGTGACTCTGCCCAGTCAGAAGAGTTATTTACCCAAGGGGTGAGATTCAAGCTCAAGCGGGGGGTGGGGTGAGGGGTTAGGCTAAATCTGCTATAAGGTCTAAAATATAAATATAAATAAAATATAAATGATCATTTAATTATAAAATTAAATTATCATTTTTTTGGTAGGGGGGGGTTAAAATGCACCCCCTTTAGGTTTTAAAACTTTAGGTTTAAAATGATCAAACCTAAAAGTCTGTATTAAAATATAAGTATTTTACCTGAGGGAGAGTAAAATACTAAAAAATATGTCTTCAATGTGATAGCAGAAGTTATGTTATCAGCTTTTTATCACAAGGGGGATCGGGTGAATTTTGTGGAAGGGTTGGATGAAAGTCAAGAGGCTTGAAAAAATTCTAGAATCAGGGCCTGTGATGAAGCATGGCCAGTTCAGATACCTGAGTAGAACTGGAGGTGGGAGCTTACAGTCTGGCTTTCATTTTCTCTGAAGCAGGTCCTCACAGGAGAACCCAACCTTAATGTAAAAGTTGAAGACATCTCTATTAATAAAATGAGAGGCTTTCTGGTACCTAGCTCAATTATTCATTTTCCCTTACTCAACCTCAAGTCTGTCTCAGACAGAAAGGAGCAGAAGGGAAAAATGTTTATGAAAAAAGTGAGTGACCAGATTGGGTGCTAAACCTGAATTCTAACCTTGCAGAAAACTAGGACTTTAATAGTAGAGAGAAGAGCTTTTTTGCTAGATGCGAGAGCCTATGTAGTTTGCATGCAACTCTTACTGGTTTATGAAGGAGTGTGAGGGGGTTCCAGTATAAGCCCCAGGAAAGAGAGTGGGCAAGTGAATTTGACCCCATACATGCAAATTTATCGTTCAAGGATAACTCTTTGGCAGTTGTAAAACATGAGTCTGTGTAACTGTGTATAACACATTACTTACAGCTTTTGGGGGGTGGGAGCTTGCATGGTAACAAAAATATCCTTTAGCTGGGCTCGGTGGCTCAGCCTGTAATCCCGTGCCTTTGGGAGGCTGAAGTGAGTGGATTGCCTGAGCCCGCGGGTTCGAGCCTGCCTGGGCAGCGAGACCTCATCTCTACAATAAATCAAAAAATCAGCCGGGCGTGGTGGCACATGCCTGTAATTCCGGCTACGTGGAAGGCTGAGGCAGAAGGATCGCTGGAGCCCAGCAGGTCGAGACTGCGGTGGCCGGGAGCGGCCACTGCACTCCAGTCTGGGCAATCAAGTGAGACTCAAACTCAAAAAAAAAAAAAAAAAATCCTTTAAGAGAAAATTTGTATAGTTGAGTGCAGAAAACTAATGGTCAACAAATTGGAGATCTGCCACTATTTTCACCCAATTCTCAGATTCAGTATTTGTTTCCTAAATTCATCCTCTTCTTTCTAACTTTGTTATAATTTATCAACAGTGTTTGAAATGTATGTGGTCCTATGCTAGATTCTGGGATTAGACAGGTGTATAAGAAATGGTCCTTTCTTTGGGACAATTTTCAGTTCAGGGGGAAGACACTATTTCTTTTCAAAAGGAGCTATGTAGGATGACATGGGACCCAGAATAAGGAAATCTGTGCTATTGTTAAGGTTTCCTTGTAAATCAGAATTTTGTTATTCTTTATACAAACTTAGATAAAAAGATATATATCTATGACATTAATCTCAGATGCTAACATGATAATATCTCCTAATTGGTTTAATAGCTATTTGTTAAATGAACAAACATTTAAGATGAGAACAGAGGTATCAACATATGCCCAGTATGCAAATTTATTGTTCAAGGATAACTCTTTGGCAGCTGTAAAATATAAGTCTGTGTAACTGTGTATAACACATTACTTACAGCTTTTGGGGGGCAGGAGCTTGCATAGTAACAAAAATGTCCTTTAAGAGAAAATTTGTATTGCTGAATAATGTGTATATCCATGTGTACCTATGGACATGCATACGCATTTACAATAATATGCCATTAAAAGAATTTCTGGTCTCACAAATATTCAAATGTATTTTAAACTCTCCATAAAGTAGTCAACAAAGTCAACTTTGATCTTCTTGAGTCCCTAGCATATGTAGTCAACAGACTTGGATCTTCCTGGGTCCCTAGCAACTCCTGTTTAACTAGTATGTCACAGGCTAAAAGTATTCAATAGTCACCAGGTGTGGTGGCTCACACCTGTAAATCCCAGCACTTTGGGAGGCCGAGATGTGAGGATTGCTTGAGTAGGGAGTTCGAGACAACGGCAAACTGTGGTCATATTATTGTATCTTAGGCAAATACTTCTTATTTCTCCTCTACTAAAATATAATTAAAATACTCCATTAAAATATACAAATGAATTTTTTAAATGCACATGTTTTTTCTTTGATTTTTTTTTCTTAGCCTTGTTCCATTGACTTGTGCTCATTAAACCAAAATGGTTAATTCATCCTAAGGAAGGTATTACAACACATGTTTTCATCATTAAAACATTTGGAAGAAAAACCAAATGGAAAAATTAAGATGATTTGCTCCACTCCTGTGTGGCATAATATATGGAAAGAGCACTGGACTAAGAGTCTAGAATTCTAGAACCAGTTCTTTTTTGTCGTTGTTTGTTTTATTTTATCCTCCTGTTTCAGCCTCCTGAGCAGCTGGGACTACAGGCATGTGCCGCCATATCTAGCTAATTTTTTTTTTTTTTGTAGAGTCAAGGGCTCACTATATTACCCAGGCTGATCTCGAACTCCTGAGGTCAAGCAATCCCCCCAACTAGGCCTCCAAAAGTGGTGAAATTACAGGTGTGAGCCACCATGCCCAGCCATTTCTGTTTTTCACTGACCATAGGCATGTCAAAACTCTCTGGACACTAGTATCTCATTAGTAAATAGAGAATTGGATGAGATGATTTTTATAATCTCTAGTAGCTCTAATATTTTGTTCTTAGAGTATTTCTGCTGTTTCTCTGGTCATTAACATTCTATAATATTATCTTTGTTGTTGCTTTTTCAGCCAGAAACAAATTCTGAATTACAGTCCTGCATTGACTATTCAGAAACCAGAGAAGAGTAGTGAAAACAGTTAAAAATTACAAGTCAGGTCTCAGCAAGACATTAAAACTGAAATGGGAAATATATTTCTAGAGTGACAATGATACTTTTCTAACCTGTGAAGTCTTTAAATTCAGGGGATGGTGGTCAGCAGAGCTGCATTTTTCACATAGGATTGAGCCAGAAGAAATGTTACTGAACTATCTATCACAAGGCACTTGAGTTAGGTACAAATATGCACATTCTGTTTTTGAGGGTGTTAAATACAGCTAATTGCTATGGGGGACTGTTGTGCAATCTTTGTTTGTGATGACCCTTCCAAGCCACACAAATATCCCAGTGAAACAGTCATAGCATCAAGCAAGAGTATGCAAGCTAACTTCCAGCAGAACTTCTTTTCTTATCTCAGAAAATGTCTATGAGGAAGATTTGATGGCTTCATCAGAATGACTTTACCTAAACTGTATTTCAGAGAGATAATTAAGTCTGTATCTCTGACTGAAAACTGTTAATATATAACACTGGAAGTGATATTTCTAAAAAAGATGAAATTGTTTTGGATTGTGTATTATTTCAGGTTTCTCACCTAACCCTGATGAAAAGAAGTTGACTGGCCTTGAAACGAACCTAGGAAGAGGTTGGATAGGAGTCTTCCTCTTACCTTAGTTCAGAGTAGCTTGAATCTGGGTAGACAACAACCATGGTTGAGAGGATTTTAGACTTGAGGGAGAGTTCAGAGCAAGGAAGGACTCAAGAGGATGCTGGTACAGCCCTCCCTTAACAAATGAGGAAACTGCAGTCCAACGACAGGAAGTGAGGTGGCCAGGGGCACACAGTGCTTAATGGTGACTCGGGTTGCAGCTCAGGATTTGTATACCTAAAACTTACCACTGCCACTGTGAAGTTCCTACAAGGGAAAGTCCCCAGAAGACTGCAGAGCACCACTGTTCACTAAGGGTGGTGCAGAGAAACAGGTTAGAATCATACTGCTTTGGCTTGTGCTGTGTCCCTATGCAACTTAGCAGAGCCAGCCTGTCACTCACACATCTTTCTCTGACAGGTCCACTGCAACAACATGTTTGCTAAAGGTGTGAAGATCTTTAAGGAGGTGCAGTGCTACTTCCGCTCTGAAACCAATGAATGGGAACCTAATGCCATTTCCTTCCCCCTTGTCCTTGACGATGTCAACCCCAGTGCTCGGTTTGTCACAGTGCCTCTCCACCACCGAATGGCCAGTGCGATCAAGTGCCAATACCATTTTGCTGACACCTGGATGATGTTCAGTGAGATCACCTTTCAATCAGGTAGGGAACTTGGGACTCCTTGGGGTTGTGGGAGCAGGGTGATGGAGAAAGGCACCACTCCAGAACTTTCTCTTTGGTTGCTCTCTGAGAGGAGTAGGTTTGTCTAGGTAGCTTCTTGTTGTTGGATAGAGGGACTCTTTTGTGCGACTAGTTTTAATCATGGAGAAGTAGGGATGAGAATGGAAGTGAGCAGAACATTTACTTGACTCTTCTTATATGGTAAATAATTTTTTTTTAAAGTCAGTTGTGCAGTGGCACAATCATAGATTGCTACAGCCTCAACCTCCTGGACTCAGGCAATCCTTCTGCCTCACCCTCCCGAGTAGTTGGGATTACAGGTGCACACCTGGCTAATTTTGTATTTTGTTTATTTTTGTTTTTTTAGATGAGGTTTCACTATGTTGCCTAGGCTGGTCTCAAACTCCTGGGCTCAAGCAATCCTCCTGCCTCAGGCATCCAAGGTGCTGGGATAACAGGGATGAGCCACCATGCCCAGCAATAATTTAAAAAAATGAATACAATGTGTTAAAAACAACATCAATTAAGGCAGTTAATAGGTGTACTGTTAAAGGAAGTACACCTAAGCATTATTAACTATTTAAATACAAAATTTATAAATATACACAAAATAAAGAGAATGGTAACCCCCCCATTCATCACTCAGCTTTACTAACCATTGACATTTTATCATATTTTTAAACTTAACCCTCCCTTTTTGCTGCATTTTAAAACAAATCTGAGATATTATTTGATTTCATTACTCAAAATTGTAAAAGCCATCTAAGAAAATATCATCATTTTCATAAGTATAGTGCCATTATGAGATCCAACGTTTATTATTAAAAAATTCTTTAATATCCCTTCATATCCTGTCCATATTCAAGTATCCCTGACTGTATAATTATGTCTTACTATGGCTTGGTAAACCAGAATTCTCTGTGAATTTCTTTATTATCTCTCCTCAATGTATCTTTTATTCTAAAACAATTTATTCCTTTAAAAAATATTTGATTCTGGCTTGACTAATTGCTTTCAGTGGAGTCATTTTACTCAAACGTCTATCCTCTGTCATTTCTACTGACTGAGAGTTACATCTAGAGGTTAGTTTGATTCAAATTTAATATTTATTTGTCAGGAATGATTAATAGGCAGTGTTGTATACTCTCGCTTTTAGTAAAACTAAGATTGACTTGTGGTTTCAGGAGTTTCCCCATGAAATTTTACTTTACCCTCCAATGATGATCACTGTCCAAATTATTTCATTAGTGGTTGCCAAACGGTAATTTTCTAATTCTTTTATTCCTTCTGCATTTTTTAGCTGAATTGCTTCTGAATAGAAGAACTATTTTTCATGCACTTGTTTATGCTGAAATACAGCTGACATTAGAAGAGCAGGATACGTCTACATTTTTTTCCATTGTCAATTTTCAAAGTAATGAATTGATGCTCTAGCACCCTTCAATAATGTGTAATGAGCTTTGCTTTTCACACTTTTTTGGTATCATTATGCACTCATTGCTTTGTATAAATTCCATGTGGAATTTATTGGAACTATATTTCTTTTGATACTTAAATTGTCCTGTCTTTGACCAGAGTCTGCATCTTTAAGCAGACTCTTTGTTCTTTGAATCTAACCCTATAAACCTTTGATAATTTTCTCACTATGAAGAACAAGATGTTCCAAGCTCATCTTGCACTTCACTGATCCAGGGTGGAATTAACCATTTCTTCAAGAAACCTTGGTTATTTTTAGAGAGGAATAATATTTAGATATCACAAATTGGGCAAAAAGGATGCTCATTGTTGTTGGGCCGTCATTGTTTCTTGAACCTTTCCAGTGGGAAAAATAAGGAAATGTGTATATTTAAAAAGAAAAATCATGAGTTCACATTGTTACTTCCAAATCAAATGAAACATAATAAGGTTTTTACTTAAATTTAGTTTATACTTTGATCTCTTTTGTTTATGCTAAGTGTTATGTTTTCTAACAATGTTAACAGCATTTGCTTCATTCTACTATTCAAAATAATAATACCAACATTATTACTTTCAATATAACTATTGGATGAACTTTAATATTTCTTTGCAATTCTTTCTCCTTTGTCTTGAGAATATATTCTGCTAAAAAATACTCAATCAAAATACTATACTTTGATGTCAGTTGGAATAACAGTGGGATAGTTATTTTCTCTGTGAAGTTAGGTCACTAACATGAGATACAGTTAGGTTTATTTTATTCAGTTTGTTTCAACTTTTAGGGATTCATTTTAAGGTCTAAGCACTAGTCTTTACTGAAGAACAACAGCAGCAAATAGTGATTGAGTTTGGTAGAGTCAGACACTGTGCTGAATGTTGGAAAGCTAGAAGACATTTAGGGCATTGTCCATACCATTAAATTTTAGATGGGGGAAAAAGTATACAATCATTTTTTAAAAGAAATGTTTAATGTGGTACCAACAGTAAGTGATCAAAAAAGGAGAGGAGACACTAGAGTAGGTTTTCCATAGACAGCATCAAAGGAAAGAGACTTGTATAGGGCCTGAAAGAAAAGTTAAGATATAAAGTGACATAAGAGTGGAGGAGAGACTAATAACAAGATAAACCAGAAGACCAACCCTTTCTGATCTGATTTTTAAAAGAAGAGAATTTCCAGATGGTTTGCTCATTAAGATGTACGGGTAAGAAAATTGAGCATAGTTTTAGAAAAACAGGTTTGATGCCTGTTTTCTATGCTGATGATTTAATCTAAGAATAATGGTATGGTGATTTTATCTGAGGATCTATTGGGAGCAGAAATTGAGATACTCAAAAGCAGTGCTGCTTACACTCTGTTAACTGGGGGACAAAGAGATTTCCGTTCATCCTCAGAGATTCTCTTGGTAGAGTAATTAGTATATTTATCTTTCTATAGCTGGTTATTGTTATGGACTATGGCTTTCAACTCCTGCGGTCTTTTGAGCTTTAAATCCAATTTCATGATGATACTGGCTTTCCCTGGAACCTGAGGATCCAACTCAAAATGTGCATGTAGATGCCAGATACCTCCCTATTTATATAATAATGTTAAGAAGAAGAAAAATTAGGATTTGGGGAAGGAATGTCTCATAGGAGGAAAATGATATTCTAATTCTTGACCCCCTCAATTAGACAAATCAGAGGGAAAATTAATTGCTAACATCAATCTGGCAAATCTGGCAAATACACTTTTCAGGTTTAGTCTCAGAAGCTGCAACATCATAGTAAAGGACATTTCAATGTCAACAATCTACCTGTAGAGATGAAGCCTTAATTTATAAATTAAAAGGCTAGGCCAATGAGGCATAGTGGAAACGTTTTTGTAAACAACGTAATTTTCTTGAAGGAAAGCACATCTTAGCACTATGTCTGTCCCATGTCCGTCTACTCACTTTGTCTATTTTGCTGAATTTGTGTCCTGTTTCCTATGTTTTCCAATAATGTGTGGCTATAACCCCTTAAACTTAGAACTGTTTCTCAAACTTTTTGGATAGTGACATCTAGTATATAATATTTGAAATAGAAGTTTTGCAAAAGAAAAGTTGTCCTTACTATATAGATGAATGGTGATATTCTTATTTAATGTATTTATGATTTTAGTTTTTAAAAAGCCTGGTAGCAACCACTACATTGATTTTATAGTATGCTATGCCACAAATGCCTTCAGAAAGACCTCTAGCTGTCTTCTCCCTGGGTCTGACTCACCCTTGTTTTGTAACAGATGCTGCAATGTACAACAACTCTGGAGCCCTGCCTGCCTCTCCTATGGCACCCACAACCTATGGTATGTGTGATTCCTAAATATTAAAATTAAGTTGAAGGGACCTCCTAGAGGATGAAGGAAGGTGGAGATTTGCAAAAGCCTGACTGTGTGGGAGGCCAGGTGGCTCTGGATAATGAGTAGCCTTGGAAAGTTAGGACAGTCCACTTCCAAAGTTAAGGATCCAAGCTCACTCTCTTCACTACACTATAACCCCTTGAACTTACACTGTTTCTTAAACTTTTTGTATAGTGACATCTAGTATGAAATGTTTGAAATAGAAGTTTTGCAAAAGAAAATTTGTCCTTGTGCTTTTTAAGTAGAGGCAGTGTCTGGAGTTGTCCCAGTGAAAACTAGGGATTATTGGGGGTAGAAACAGGGAAAGAGGGGCATTCCTTTTTTTTTTTCTTCAGATATTATTATTATTATTATAAAGATGTGGAGTACAATTCAGGGTTAGCTTTAAAAATGTCGATTATGCAGGTACCCTTGTTGATGCAGGTACCCTCCCTCCCCCAGCAGTTTCCTTCAACTGCCAATCCCATCCCCCTCCCCTGACAGTTTCCCACTACTGCCAATCCTTTTCTTATAGTATTATAATGTTTAAGGTCCACTTATGAGTGAGAACATATGTATTCTGTCCTTTGTTTCTTTGATAGATCACTGAGTACGATCAACTCTAAATCCACGCAAGTTGCTGTGAAGTCCATATGTTTGTCCTTCTTTATGGCTGCATAATATTCCATTGTGCATATGTACCACATTTTTAAAATCCAGTCCAGCTCTGATCAGCAGCATGACTGGTTCCATATTTTTGCTATTGTGAATAGAGTTGCAACAAACATATGTGTGCAGGTATCTTTTTTGTAGAATGATTTGTGTTCCTCCGGGTATATTCCCAATAGGGGAATTGCTGCGTCATACGGAAGGTCAATTTCTAGTTCTTTAAGAAATCTCCAAACTGTCTTCCAAAGAGGTTGTGCTACTTTGCATTCCCACCAGCAATGTAGAAGCATTCTTTTTTCTTTACATCTTCGCCAGCATCTGTTGTATTATTAATGATGACCATTCTTACTGGGGTTAGGTGGTATCTCAATGTGGTTTTGATTTGCATTTCTCTGATGATGAGTGAGGCTGAGCACTTTTTCATGTGTTTGTTGGCTGCCCATAAATCTTCTTTTGAAGATTCATGTCTTTTGCCTACTTTTTAATGGGGCTGTTTGTTTTTTTCCTTTCAGCGCATTTGAGTTCCTTGTAGATCCTAGATGTTAGGCCTTTGTCAGATATACAGTTGGCAAATATTTTTTCCCATTTTGTAAGCTGTCTCCCTGCTCTCTTAATGGTTTCTTTTGCTTTGCAGAAGCTTGTCAGTTTGATGAGGTCTCACTTGTCTATCTTATTTCTTAAGGTATGGGCATTCAGGGTTCTGATCAGGAATTGGTTGTCAGTTCCAATTTCCATAAGAGTGTCTCCTGTGTTTTCTGAGATTCTTATTGTTTGAGGTTTTACGTTTAGGTCTTTGATCCATTTAGAGTTAATTTTTGTGTATGGTGATAGGTAGGAGTCCTGTTTCAATCTTCTGCATGTGTTCAACCAGTTTTACCAGCACCATTGACTGAATAGGTTGTCCTCTCCCCAGTGGTTGTTGTTGGAGGTTTTGTCAAAGATGAATTGGTAGAGAAATTGAGGCTTTGCTTCCAGAATCTCTATCCTGTTCCATTGGTCTATATGCCTGTTCTTGTACCAATACCAGGCTGTTTTGATTGCTGTAACCTTATAGTAAAGTTTGAAGTCTGGAAGTGTGATACCTTCTGCTTTGTTTCTTTTGCTAAGGATTGCTTTTGTTATTTGTGGCCGTTTATGTCTCCATATAAATTTCTGTATTGTCATTTCCAGGTCTGAGAAGAATGATATTGGTAACTTAATGGGTATTGTGTTGAATCTGTAGATTGTTTGATGTTGGTAACAATGAATATTGTGTTGAATCTGTAGATTGTCTTTGGTGGGATGGACATCTTAGCAATGTTGATTCTTTCTATCCATGAGCATGGAATATTTTTCCATTTGTTTGTGTCTGCTTGGATTTCCTTGAGCAGTGTCTTGTAGTTCTCATTGTAAGGGTCTTTCACTTCTCTGGTTAGGAAGATGCCGAGGTATCTCATTTTTTTGGTGGCTATTGTGAATGGGATTGTGCTTTTAATTTGTGTCTCTGCCTGCTTGGTGTTGGTGCATAGGAATGCAACTGTCTTTTGCACATTTATTTTGTAACCTGAGACTTTGCCAAAGTTCTTTATCAGTGCAAGCCGATTTTTGACGGATTCTCTTAGATTTTCAAGGTATAGGATCATATCATCAGTAAAGAGGGATAACTTGACTTTCTCTTTTCCTATTTGGATACCCCTGATTCCCTTCTCTTGTCTAATTGCCCTAGCTAGGACTTCCAACACAATGTTGAACAAGATGGATGAGAGTGGACAGCTTTGTCTTGTTCCAGTTTTCAGGGGAATCATTTCCATTTTCTGTCCATTTAGCAATATGTTAGCTGTGAGTTTATCGTAAATGTCACTTACTATTTTGAGGTATGTTCCTTCTGTATCTAGGTGTTTGAGGGTTTTTATCAAGAAGGCATGCTGGATTTTATCAAAAGCTTTTTCTGCATCTAATGATATAATCATGTGTTTCTTATTTTTATATCTGTTGATGTATTTAATTACATTTATGGCCTCGCAAATGTTGAACCAGTCCTGCATCCTGGGGATGAAACCTATTTAGTCATGGTGGATGATTTTTGAGACGTGTTTTTGGATCTGATTTGCTAGAATCTTGAGGATTTTTGCATCTATATTCATAAGGGATATTGGCCTGTAGTTCTCTTTTTTTGTTGGATCTTTACCCAGTTTGGGTATCAGTGTTATGTTAGCTTTGTACAATGATTTGGGGAGAATTCCATCTTTCTCAATTGCCAGTGATTTGGGGAGAATTCCATCTTTCTCAATTGCCTGTAATACTTTCAATAGGATTGGTATTTGCTCCTCCTTGTACGTTTTGTAGAATTCTGCTGGAAAGCCATCCAGTCCAGGGCTTTTTTTTTGTAGGTAGTTTTCATATGACAGAGTCAATTTCCTGGGTTGCTGTTGATCTATTTAGTGTCTCAATGTCTTCTTGTTTCAACCTAGAGAGTTTGTGTGATGTCAGAAAGTCCTCCATTTCATTTAAGTTATCAAGTTTGTTTCCACATAGGTGTACATAGTAATCTCTGATAATCTTTTGTATTTCTTAGGGGTCCATTGTGATTTGACCTTTTGTATTTCTGATTGTGTTTATTTGGGCTTTTCCTCTCTTTTTCTTGGTCATTCTGGCTAGGGATCCATCAATCTTGTTAATTCTTTCAAAGAACAAACTTTTTGTTTTGTTGATGTTTTCTATGATATTTTTGTCTTCTCTGCCCCATATTTGGGCTCTTATTTTATGATTTGGACACTTCTGCTAAAGTTGGGGTTTTGGTGGTCTTCTCTTTCCAGCTCCCTTAGGTTATTTGTTAGGCTCTCAACTTGTGATCTTTCCGTTTTCTTGATGTGTGCTCGTAGAGATATATATTCCCCTCTTAGAACTGATTTCATGGCATCCCAGAGGTTTCTGTAGGATGTTTCTTCATTTTCATTTGTTTCCAGGAATCTTTTAATTTCTGCTTTGATTTCAGTGTTGACCCAGGAGCTGTTCAGCATCATGCTATTTCATGTCTATGTCTTTGTGGGTTTGGGGGAAATTGGGAAAGAGGCATTTCTATTTGAGGCCGATAGTGGGGATTTTCATGAAGGGGTAGAAGTCTAAGAAACAAAATGCTGGTCTAATTGGAGATGAATATGCAAAAGCATATTCATTACTTTAGACAGTCTCTGGCCATACCAGTCAGCAATCTGAGAAACATGTGTGATTTAATATCTCCAAAGAAGACTCTCAGCTATCTTGGCATGTCTCAAAGAATGCAGAGGATGAAGCTGTTTCCTCACCAGTTTTTCATGAAGTCTTATCAGGGGACTGTAGACCCAGACTATGGTCATATGAGGACAAAATTTTGGGAAGACTGAAAAAGCTATCCATTTTCTAGGCTGAGACATGGGAAGACGGAGGCTACTGACCCATGGAGGAAGAGTGTAGGATATAGGAGCAAAGTAGAAAAACAGCAGCAAGACCAAACATTAAAGTGGCTTCCTCTGGAATGTCATCAAACAACAGGACCTATCTACCTCCATGTCCCCAGTCCAGTCACTCATTGCTTTTTCTTGCACCATGAGATGATTATATTCTCTGCCTTCTCTTCCGGGTCACAGATCCAATGCTTAAAGTTGACGACAGCAACACTCGGATTCTGATTGGCTGCTTGGTGGCCATCATCTTCATCCTCCTGGCTATCATCGTCATCATCCTCTGGAGGCAGTTCTGGCAGAAAATGCTAGAGAAGGTGAGGAGATGCAGAATGGGTATGGCACAGGGATGTAACTCTTCCCTTTACTAAGTTTCTGGTGTCCTGGGCGAAGGCAAATTCCATGAATTTATAAATGGTTGGAATTAACTGAGGTCACCAAGAAGCATAGAAATGGAGACGATTGTTGTTTGAAGGAGTCAGAAAAGAATGAGCTAAGTCTATTTTCTCATTTTTAGAAGAGACATTGGAACCTTCCTAGAAAACTCAGAAAACTCTTTCTAACACATTGAATCTCAATCCAGGCATTTTCCTTGAAGATTCTGATTTACTAATTTTGGATTGGAGCACAGTCATCTATGTTTTTTTTGGTTTTTTTTTTTTAATTTAACAAGTGATTCTGATGCACATCCAAAGTTGGGAATCAGTTTTTTAATGCCTTGCTAAAATTTCTGACAAGGCTATTGAAGTTCCTTCTTTTCCTGTTTGTTTGCTTGTTTGTGTGCATGCATATGTATGTAGAAAAACATCCAGCCTCATTAACATCCAAGCCAAGTTACTCACAATCCTATTTCCACTTTCTTGAAAGTGTACTTGAAAGTTGTGATTATATATTTCTCTGAGTCCCTTCTCAGAGACTTTCTGTCTAGGCAAAATTATCTGAATAACTTTTATTACATATATTTAACACTTTACAGTCTGCAAAGATTTTTTCCTCATGTATGATTTTATTTGAACCTTATTGAGTATAGTTATATTTAATTATTTTCCTGATGAGAAAGTGTAATGTACTCAAGGTCACACAACTAGTATTCAGTCTTCTATACCTCTTTAATTTGCTAATATTGAAATATGCTAATTTCTTTATTCTAAAATATATATATTCCATCAAGGATGGAATTTCTGTGACTTTTCTTGGTTTCTTGCACCAGATAGCAGCTCCCTGGGCACTGCTGCTAAATGTCTGATTCTCTTGTGTTCTGCTGATAATTAAGTGTCTCTGCCTTTGACCATTGATATCCTCCCTGGTTAATGAGATTCTCTTGATAGACATGGAATGTGAGAGATCACAGACACTGAGCTGTGGGGCTCTGAACTGCCCAACTGAGGGCAGAGAACAGAAAAGAAGGTAATCCTGATTGATCTCCTTGTTTGGGGGTGGGCTCTCAGGGAAGACCAATGCCTATGTGGAGTAGGCTCCAGAGGAGGGGAAAGAGCACCCAGAGAATGGGCTTGAGTCTCCAGGTGTTTTGGATATAGGAAGGAAGAAAAGGGGCTCAAATCAGAAAAGTGAGGAGGAGCAACCCAGACGAGTAGTCTGCAATTACTTCTGACCTGTTTCACATTCAGTTTCCTGAGATGGTTGAGGTTTATTTTAAGTTTTTTTAGGCAGGAATATTTCATGGAAGGGATGATCTCCTTGCTTCTTCCCACAAAGACCTCTACTATCAGTCTGAAAACACTTTACCTAAATTAAAGCTTCTAATTCATAAAGAGCAACTGAAGACTAAATGGCAGAATCCACATAGACTCATTCATTGGTATGGCTATGTCTCATGGCATCAGTGAGTATTGAAACCTTTTCTCTTGAGAATGCTGGAACACACTCATGTCTAAATGAGGTATTCCAGGGTGAAGTTTAGTAAGGAGTGATGGTAGTGGGTGAAGCTAGTGAACTGAGGGTTCACTGTACAGTTTGAAACAGATGTGTGTCTTTCTTGAATAAGCTATTAGAATTGCATTTTAGCAGTCTGGAGGAGGGTTTGTGTTCTCTGATCTATGGGCTCTTTTGTGTTTATTTGAGGCAGAATTTATCACACTTCTCTGTGTCTTTCCTCTGAGGCCTATTGGAGTATCTTCATAGACTGGGAGAGGGATGTTGGATCAGAGTATTTATAGTTAAAAGAGAGAGAAAAAATTTTGCTCTTGAGTATTTAGCTTGGCCCTTTAAAAATTCTTTCTACCTCTTTGCCTTCTGAGTAAGATAACTTGAGGAGCTCTGCAATGACCCCGAGGATTTCTCCCTGTGACATAAGTGGGAAAATCTTTAAGCACACATGTACATTCTAAGAACATTACTTAACATAGCTTTAAACTGTGGCATTATTTGAAGGATACTTTTGATGGTATCCTCAACATTTCTTCTTTGAGAGATTCAACCAACATTTATTGATTACCTACTATTTGCTGGGCTCCATGCTCAATGCTGGTGATACTACTGCAACAAAGGAGCTTTCAATCTAGTGGAAGAATAGACATCTACATTTCTCCATTGAAAACCCAAACTGTGTCTGTTGGAGTGGAGCATTTTACATGTTTAAATCCAACTAATCACACACATGCAGAAGTTGACATTTTCCTTTTAATAGAGCAGGCAGTTTATATTAGAAAAGATGACAAAAAAGGTTAGTTCTTCTTCCTGTATTGGTGTAATTCACCTTGGTATCCCCAGACAACTAGGACTTTCCTGTCCTATTTTGTAGCCATTTTGTTTTTGGTTAGTAAAAATATGGAGTTGGAGGAGGGGGAAGGTGGTTATCCTAACCTACAGGATGATCAGGTAAACTATTGATTCATTGTTATACACATTTATTGAGTTAATGAACATTTTAATATTTGTCTACACAAAATCAAAGCAGCTAAAGGGTGAGTCAGCAAAACCTAATATTGAATAGAACATAGAAGATTCTATAAAATTGATAAGTTTTTTGGTGACTGATAGGTTCTTACAGCATCATGAAAATGATGCTTAAAAGTGCTTCAGAAAGTTGAATGTTGGCAGCTCAGAAATCGGGAGGCCAAATTCTGCCTTGAAGAAATGAAAGATTGTTCTAAGGTTTACAACACAGGCATTTGTAGAGCCAGATTGCATCCTTGCCATGTGCAGTGTCTCTGGGGTTTAGCAATAGTAAAAGGTTATTTCACTTGAGTAGAAGGGCTGGGTTAAAGAAGGAGAGGAAGTGGTGATCCCCTTTGTGCCAACATGTCCTTCTCCTATTCTCTTCCAGGCTTCCCGGAGAATGCTGGATGACGAAATGACAGTCAGTCTTTCCCTGCCTAGTGATTCTAGCATGTTCAATAACAACCGCTCCTCATCACCAAGTGAACAGGAGTCCAACTCGACTTATGACCGCATCTTTCCGCTTCGCCCTGACTACCAGGAGCCATCTAGGTTGATACGAAAACTCCCTGAATTTGCTCCAGGGGAGGAGGAGTCAGGTGAGGATGGCTTGGTGGGCAGGGGACCTTTTGACAAGTGCTATGTAGGTGCTACACTCCTGCTCCCAGTTAACCACATCTGCTTTTTAGTGTATGTTAACCTCTGGAGAAGTCCACATTCTCTTTCTAGATTTGGTCTGTTGCTCCTCCTGGCCTAATCTGAGCACCTCTCCTTTGTTACTGATCATAAGATGTGTGGAGAAGCACACATGACCGGAAAGAAAGGGGGAAAATAGGTATTACTGAGGTGTTTACACAAGAAGAACCTGAACAACCCAATGAATTTAACCTCACTGTGCATATGAGGAAAGTGAGAAGACCCAGATAGGATACTCACCCAAACTTTGTGAGGGATAAATTCGGGACTGGAATTTCACCTGGTGAAATAAATAATTAAATGAAACGACGTTCTGAAATTCCCAGTTTTGTAGACATCGGGATTATTGAGTTATCTAATTTGTGTTAATTTCACTTTGGTGAACATGTATTAGAATAATATGCGACTTCATTGTGAGGGTAAATATTTCTTGCCTTTCTCAATAAAAGCATTGAGGTAAAACAATACCACAGGTAAAATAGTGCCAATGTCCTTTTTAAAAATGCTGCAGAGTGACATCAGAAGAGAAGCTGGGGTCACCCCTGAAGCTTAAAGCAGCTTTTCCACAAAGGTCATCAACCTGAGTGACCTAAGTCAGTAGAAGAGGACTTGTGGTGTTCAGGAGAAAGGAGCTTAGCCTGAGCTGCATGTAGAAGCAGACAGGACTAAATATGAGTGCATAGGATTTTTTTAAAAGGAGCCTGAAGGGATCTCTTAGAAGGAAGAAAAGAAACTGACATCCATTTTATCATTCAATGAATAGAAGACATTGAAAGAGCCCTTTAAAGTCAGATAATCTCATAGACAGCAAGAATAAGGGATATAAACCGATTTATTTCCTAGGCTGAATTGAAGTAATTTATCTATTTTCTGAAGTCTAAAACATTCCCTACCTCATATTTTAATATTTTTAGAATTAGAATGTATCTAAAACCATATCACATAAATTTCATCTGAAAAATTTTTTACTCCCTAAAATGGGTTCTTAAATCAATGAGTGTCTTAACACTTAAAAAAAAAAGTTATTAAACCATCAGCCTTTAATATTCCCATCCTGATATACCATGAGCTTTCTCATAGCTTTGCCACATAATGCCGCAAGGTTAACTAAGGCAGTTGTTAATGACCATATATTACAAGGAGAAGACTGAGAGATAATATGGTGGCCTACATTCTGAAGGCCACAAAGTCTCTAGAGAAAGTAAAACCATTCTCCAAGTTAGACTGTCACCAAGTAAGACAGGCTGTCATCGGGGCGTGTTCTAGCCCTCCTCTCAGATTTTCTTCCTTGAAGAGAGCCCCAAAGTTGCCTCCTTGGAATGAGACTTGCTGTCCTTGTCTTCCCAGGCTGCGGTGGCATTGTGAAGCCAGCCCAGCCCAGTGGCCCTGAGGGAGTGCCCCACTATGCAGAGGCTGACATCGTGAACCTCCAGGGAGTGACAGGAGGCAACACATACTCAGTGCCTGCTGTCACCATGGACCTTCTCTCTGGGAAAGACGTGGCTGTGGAAGAGTTCCCCAGGAAACTCTTAACTTTCAAGGAGAAGCTGGGAGAAGGCCAGTTTGGGGAGGTGAGTTAACTCTTTGAGTGGGATCTCTAGTCCTCAGTAGCTCAAAGGGAGTAGTTGAATAAAAGTAGTCAGTGGAACAAAGTGTCTCTTCTGGAAGTGGATTCACAACTGAATATCTTTTACTTATCTCTCCTTGCATTGTTCTCTGGAAGACTAGTTTTGGGGTCAACCTCTTCTTTGTCAAATAGCTGTGGAGTTCCTGGGGCTTCTGATTTCTACAGGAATTTTTAAGGCAGGCAAGACAGATATCCTCAAAAGTATTTAGTATTTCCAAAAAATTGTTATAATAGGTTATAGAGGGTGGGGACCACAAGATGCGATCATCTTTTATGAACTATCCAGAAACACCCTGCTGCCTGATAGACACTTTATTTTGTTTTTTCCTTTTAATGGGAGTTACATGTAAAATGGTTAAAAACAACCTCGCCCCTGCATTTGGTCCCAGAATCACCCACTAGGGAATGAATCACCAACTAAGATAAGGAGGAGTACTCTTCTCAATTGCCCTCAGAGTGATGCATGTAATATTAAACTTTTTACTCTTGCATCAGTCTCATGAACTTTCTGAGAACTCAAAGCAATATTTTGAGTTGTAACAGAAACTCCTCAACCCTGCCATCTAATCTCCAAGTAGAATACTTGGTTTCATAAGAATGTGCTATTGGTTTTCAGTGTGTGTCTAATTGTCTCTCCTTGGGTAAGTCTGTTGTTGGAAGAGGTGGAGGGGTCCGTGGCATCTGTTCTTAGAGTTATATATAGTCAATATGTCCTCTGGGTTACCTGTTAGATTGTTACTAATAGACAGGAGTTACTTACAATGCTGAACCCCATACTAAAATATTACCTTAGCAAAGTGTTTTATGTTTTGCATGATCTCGTAACTAATGAATCAGAGTTCAAGCACATATACTGAATGACATTTTATAGTGAGCTATAATGTAACAAAATACTATGCTATTGATTCATTCATTCACTTCTGCAATGTTCCAATCAATGTATATTTCTTTTATAAGGAATATAAAAGCAATGTATCACATTAGCTGGGTACTTTACCACTGCTTTTAATTGTATCCATTATTTGAATCAAAGATATGTTGCACATATCTTCTTATCGGTCTTTTGATTATTTTGCCTGAGTTGTAAGAGTTAGTTTATCTCCAGGAAATGCCCAGCAAGAGTACTGAGACATCTTCAGGAGAAATGATGATGCTGAGACTAGATGACTTTTGTCTAGGTTCATCTCTGTGAAGTGGAGGGAATGGAAAAATTCAAAGACAAAGATTTTGCCCTAGATGTCAGTGCCAACCAGCCTGTCCTGGTGGCTGTGAAAATGCTCCGAGCAGATGCGAACAAGAATGCCAGGTCTGTGGTCTGCATTTTCAATTTTCCTTTATGTATTTCATCTTTAAGACCAAGAAATACTCCTGGATACTTGTGAGCAATTTTTTCTTTTGAGATGGGAAGATCTATGAGCTCTTTCACATTTCTCTGTTATGCTTTTTTTCTGATAGGAGCTGTGGTCCTCCTCCTTTTCTTCAACTCTCTCAAACACAAATGTACATTTTTCATAGTATTTGCTGTGTATTTACTCCCTAACCTCCCTTGCATAGCACTGTGCTTCCTGACATACACAACCATCTACTTCTTCCATCATCAGACACAGATGTACTCTTGAATGTCATTACTTCTTCATGACGAGCTTTTCACAACCACACACCTTACCTTTCTTGCGAAGCCTCTTCCATTCTTTTTTTAACATCTCTACTTACTTTCTCATCCCTTTTTTTCTCTTTTATGCTCCTTTTCTTTTATGTCCAGCAACCCCCAAAATGAGAAGCTTACTCTACTTGGAAAAGTACCCATGGACCTCAAAGCAAAAGGATTCACAGTCCTTTAGCAGTTTTTCAAACTGGCTAATAATCTCTTGGATCCTTTACTACATAAATTGCAGTTTCCAGCCATACTCCGTTGTCTGACAACCTTTCCATTACAGTACTGGTGAGTTAATCCTCACCCAGAGAGGCATGCTGGTTGAAAGCTGGTTGTATGTGTCCCAGAGAAATCTGCACATCTGGATAACATATGCATTTCCCCATTTGTGTTGTTTTGGTTTGCCTCACTCATATTCATAATGAGAGAAAGTTTATTATTCTTATTCCCCAAGTTGTTATAAATTCCAAGAATGGCAACAGATTTATTAAAAGTCTTGCAATTGACAGGATGTGGAATAAAGAAGAGAGAAGGGCAAGGTAATGGAACTGTGGTAGCTTAGAATTTTAGCTGAGAATTTCAATATTAATGATATTGGTATGAGTGAAAAGTGACATACTCTGAGTCCCATGGAGAGACGGAGTGTTCCTTATGTTAATCTTAGCACATAATTAATTAGAAACTGGCAAGTATTGTTTTTTAAAGCACAGGATATGACAAAAATGTTCTTCATTGTTCTGATTGGTGAGGTTTGCTATGCCTCTGCCTGTGCCCACTCTTGTTTAGCAATGATGAGTGTCCTTGACTCTGAACCCAACCAAGCCAAGGAAACCCCTGACTGGGGTGGGTGGGGGGGTTAAAAGGGAATGAAAGAGGGGAGCTGTTGCATCAGGACTACATTGATTCCAAGGGTTTATATGGACATTGTATGACTCCCAGTCCAGGATTCCT